AAATAAATGAAAACAAATAATAATAATAATAATAATAATAATAATAACAACAATAATAATAACGATGGCAATGACAATAATAACAATAACAAAAACAATAATAACAACGACGGTGACAACGACAACGACAACGATAACGATAACGATAACGGTAACGGTAACGATGAACGATAATGGTAATGATAATGATAATGATAATAAATAAATATATAATAAAAAACCGACGTGAAAGCAACACGATAGCTCCAGAGGTCAATTTAGCTCGTTTCCAGGGTACTCCCGCTTCTTTTAACCCCTAAAACAGTACAACGAGCAGCCCCGTTCTTTGTCAGGAACGCACAGTCTTTGATGAATCGACTCTATATACTCATAAAACTTAACTCTCTGCTCATTTCTGTCAGAGAACCACCCTTTGAGCTCCTTACAATGGCACCCTCTGGAATCGAAAGAATTGACAACGATTCAGGAAAACTCCAGTTTGAAAACAGACTTCATCCAGCAGACATCAAGTTGTCGGAAGCCATGGCCACTTCAGCTGCGGCGATATCGTATCACATGGGGCAATACGAAAGTAAACTTGCATCTCTACAGAGTATACAGATCATGCTTGGACTAGGATTTGGCAAATCGCAAATAGCCGAGCCCAAAGAATGGACAGGATGCCTTTCAACGGTATTTATTGTCGTGTCATGTCTTGTCACGTCACGTCACGTATATCCATGTCATGTCATGTCATGTCAATAAGAATGTTCTCAAGTATGCAATACTGTAAATAAATAAATAAATAAATAAATAAATAAAAGTATATATATGCGAAATTCTTACGCATGTGTACAAACAAAAACAAACCAGCAAACCGACAAAAAGAAACCCTTCACATTAGTGCAAAGGAACATCATCAAAGAATAAAAAATTGAGAATAATAAAGTTTCAAGTGTCAGTTAGCCAAAGCAAACGATTAATTCCTTTGCTTTCTTATTTTTTAGTGTGTTGCTATTCTTATTCAACTTATTTTGGTGTTTCCGATCCTTGGGTTTCCCATGATTCCATTCCTGCACGCCGGAAGTGACGTCTGGAACAAAAGAACTGTGATCTTTTTTCTTGTGTTTCTCTGCTTGTTGACGCTGATCGCCGTGATGCCCACGGGCGCAGAAAATCCCGGATGTTGGCAAAAGTTTGTAAGGTACACCATTTACAATGATGTCAAAATTTGTAGCTAGGAACACGTCGGCATTTGAAAATGTGAAAAGGGACCGCACGCGAAAATGCTGCTGGTATACATAGGATCTGTGGGGGAAGGGGTGCGTTTACTCTTATATCTGGGTCTTCTTTTAGAGACCAGAACATTTGTAAAGCAGTCAATATATATTCGCAGCTCGATTCAATACTCTTCTTCAGTCGTGATGACTGTTTCGTATCTATATCGTCCATTCTGAACACTACAGAACCTTTTAAACGCGATATTGAAACTAACAGTTTGGATGATTCAATTTCTTTATGTAGGTGGTGCATCGTAAATATATATCAGGTCAGGTTCATCCGGGAACTGTTGGAAGTAATTAACGTTGGCCCCACTCCTCCTCCGATTCTTTACCTGTCTGACGGCGGCCACGTTGAAAACCTGGGCATTTTACCATTGCTGAAAAAGAGGTTGCAGAAGATTGTAGTTGTGGATGGTGGAGACTTAGAGGATTTAGGGATCGCAGGAGATCTGATCACCGCACTGAAAAAAGCTAGGGAAAAACTGCACTGTTCATTCACTGGAATGAACGGAAGAGACGTATATGAAGATCTAAGGACAAAGGTAATCGATAGGCCAGCGAGAAAGCAGCCGAGAAGTTATCGATTTAAGGTCGAGTACTACGACTACACGGACGAAGGTGAGGAAAAGAAGGTTGGGGAAGGAGAAGTGCTTTATATTCTTCCACGCCACCCTAAATATGGCCTTTCGGGAGAGAGAAAGAGCTGGGGCGAGATAACCGGTGACATCAAGATTGATATCGAGGCTGACTTGTGGGGGAGCGGACCTGAAGTGGAAACAGAAGAAGTGGAGCGTTTGACATGTTGCTGTTGCGAGTGTTGTCATTGTTCCCCGCTTCAGTTTTTATCAGGATCCCTTTGCGGCGCGTTCCCTTATCATTCTACTGCCAATCAGTTCTTTACACCCGCCATGTTCACTGCCTACCATCGGGAAGGTTACCGCGCCTGCATGGAGGCCCGCGCTGTGGATTTTCTTTTGGGATCTGAGGAGAGTTCCGAATAAGTTTCCATTATCATTTTCGAGAAACGAACATTTGATGAAAAAATGATTCAAATTTACGGTTGAGATAACAATGACGGATTTAATGCTGCAGGAAAGCCGTATTTACTACTTTTACTGCTTTTTATTGGGGAAATATCCTTGAGGAAAGAAGCTGCCTTTTAACTTGTTACTGAGTCAGTTTCTTGTTTTATTGTTGAACAGGTTATAGTGCACAAAACAGTGGGATTTAAAAAAAGCGTAAAGCAACTAAATGAAAGCTTAGGTAGGGCTCTAAAGACGTTTAATTTTAATTGATCCATGGGAAAAGTCGTTTATGTATTACAACTGGCAAAGCTGAGAGGTTTATTTTTCTGAAACGATCAGAGTGAAGATAGCATCGCATGCGTGTAATAATAAAAAAATTAAGATATGTCGAACAGTGCTTGACGTTTCGATGCTGTAGAATACATGAACTTCTAGTTTGTCGATCTCTGAGTCCCACGAATTTAAATAAGTATTAAATCCCGAGCTGAAACGCGCTGTCTTTCTCCTAAGTGGCCAAGTGGTGCTATATTCCACTGGAATTTTCGTTTTCTGGCTGTTGCAGCGTTTTCAGGCTAATTTAGATTTGCTCCAAGCTGTTTGGCTTTTCTGATAGGGTTGTTACTTTTGATTTGAGGAAGAGTTCGAAATTTCTTCCTCTGAGCTATAACAAAATAACAAACGCATTTGATTAGAATTATTTTGTTAATGTCATCCAAAATGGCGGCGATGATATCACATCACAATCAAGAATAATATAACAGAAATGGGCCACGTTCGACATGTCAATATTCTAACATGGCTCCGAGGCTTTCAGGACAAACTTCTATATTTGTTGTTGTTTTCTTTGTATCCAAGTCTCTTTTGGGAATTGAGAGGCAAAAGAAACTTAAAAATTTACAATTTTGACCCGAAAGCCAGGGAACCATGTTAGAATACTGATATATCGAACGTGGACCATTGCTCAACGATGAAGATGTAATGTTTTTTTTTGTTTTCGCGTGATGAAAACAACATTTAGCTCTTTCTCTGCACTCATTTGTCAAATATTGATCTTAGCACTGGAAAATAAAATATTTGTTTTTGCGCCGCATTGTAAAATCCTCCACATCTTTGACATTACAAGCAAAGCTGGTTAATTTAAGGAACACACAATAACATTGCTACTCTTGCAGGACGCGCGCCGGGGACAACGCCTAGTCAAAAATGAATTTATATTTTACCAGAGAAATTCGAATTTGTCTAGATCTGTTCAGTTAAAAACGTGCTCAGGCTAAATGTGCAATGACAGCGTTAAATTCCAAATGAAAGTACGAAAAATTAGCCGGCGTCGTTCGCGTTCCTCACATGAGGCTACGCAGAACTTGGTCATATCATGTTCTTGTTTTGCAGAGGGCGGCAAATAAATGTACAAAGATTTATAAAGCACGTGCACAGCTATTTTTTTGCTCATTAAACGTTTTGTTTGATGAGGTTCTCATTGCCGTAGTCGTCGTTGTTTGCTTAAGCTACCTACTGTCTACAATTCGACGTTAGCTGTTTCACCCGCTGGCCGGGGCAGTGGCTGATGGACGGACTGGGCAGATCAACAGGCCCTTTGCACGATCCGGTCACATGGTACAAAATCACACATGCTGGGACGCAAGTTGCACAGTGGGACTTCCAAAACAAAGCGATTCGTACCAGTCCACCTTGACCTGCCTTTGTTTTGGAAGTCCCACTGTACAACTTGGGTCCCAGCATGTGTGATTTTGTACCATGTGACCGGATCGTGCAAAGGGCCTATTGATGGTTATAATCAGACAATGGAGCCTCCATAATTTTTCAATTCATATTGATTGCGTCATAGTCTCTGTGTACATAAACGTTTAATTTTTTATGACAGTTTTTAAAAAAACGTCGTACCATACACATTGCAGATATCTGGCTCTTGGAAGCAATCTGAAATATCCAAAACCAGTCACAAAATAATGCGGTGTACATTTAACGTGGTATATAAATTATCTAATAACATACGCAAGACGTCAGTGTGGGCTTATACGTCCCGTCCACACTACGCCGGGGAAATTTGAAAACGGAGGTTTCACTCTGAAAACGCATCAAAATGTTTTCCGTTCACACTACGCCGGAGGAATTTAAAAACGCAAAAATCAGCGGCCATTTTGGATTTTTGTTTGAGGAAAACTCGGTCAGGGAAATCACATGATTATCGTGACGTCATCGTTTACGAAAAGCTCCGTTTTCAAAATGTTTTCCGTCCACTCGAAAACATGAAGCCAGCGTTTTCAAATTCCTCCGGTTTGAAGAGCGTTTACGAAAAGCTAGGCCTAGCCGTGGAAATAAAGCTGCGTTTTCAAATATCTCCGTTGTTGTGTGGAAGCTCCCTTAGACCCCGGGTTTAGGTATCTAACGCTGTAGGCTTTCGCTTACACCCGTTTTGAGAATGATTGACTCTCAATAGCGTAAAAGCATTCGCGATCATACCGAAATGTAAAACTAGTACTTGCATTTCCCTGTTGCTTGATCAAAGTACACGATGCTTAAACGCGAAGAGAGGAAAAAAAAATTATCGAATTCATGCTTTATTATTCTATTAAAACCGTGAAATGCGATAAACTTCAAACTACGATACCCATAATATCTTTCGGCATTGTTGCATACATTTTACACTTTTGTAGGAAACCTTTCTCGAAACACATTTTGAGATAAGTTAAACAGATGCTGTTCTTAATATTTTCACACAAAATTGACAAATTAAGCGACTTATAACGGGCTTTCAGGCAGCTTGTAGGCTACTTCCGAGTTACCTATCTCCTCTGTTTTAAAACGAGTTTTCGTGCAAAACCTTTCATATATCGACATATAAAAATGAGTTTGATTTGCCAGAAAGTGAACCTGTAGGCCAAACGCATTTTCATATGAAGACCTATGAATGGTTTCTCGCGTAGACTCGTTATGAGACAGAGGCCAAAGACAACTCGGAAATGGCCTATTGAGCTGAACACCTTGAATTTAAGTGTTTTATGTTTGACCTTACCAAGTTTGACCGGAATCAAACTACTCGCAAAACCGAAATTGGCGTCCAGTTAAATTGTTGATTAGGCAGTACGTAGTAAGAATAAGCGGCTTATTCATCAACTGTCGTGAACGTAGTAGCCGCAGTCACCGGTCTTTCTCCTTCAGCGAGAAATTCAGCGGCGTTTGCCTCCATACATGCGCGATAGCCTTCTCTATGGTAGGCCGTGAACATGGCCGGTGTGAAAAACTGATTTCCAGTTGAATGCTGTGGAAACGCCCCGCACATCGATTCTGACAAGCCACGACAGTTGGAACCATGACAACATTCGCAACAACAAAACGTCAAGCGATCAGCCTCCTCTGCCGTCATCTGTGGCCCAGGTCCCCAGAGGCCAGCCTCGAGATCACCATCAATGTCACGCAGCACCTCCCCCCAGGGCTCGTATGTTTTCTTCTGCGCGCTCTTGTCGGGGTGTCTGGGGGCAATAAATAGTATTTCACCCTCACCAACCATAGTTCTGCTACCGTCATCGGGATCCTTGTCAAAGTACTGCACTTTGAACCTGAGAGTGAGAGAGTATCCATTAGTTCTTTTTGACAACAGGGTCGAGCACAGGTTTTTTCATTCCCGCATCCCGCCACTATTTATGGCTCAATCCCTCAATCCCACAAGCCAGTCCTAGTCAGAATATCTATCTC